TGGATGATCATAGGGGCATGAGAAGAGGTTGAGAGGGACTGGGGCTATGACTCCATCCAGGTGTGGGATGTGCAGAGCCAGTGAAGTGAGAAGGAAATGATAGAAGACAGACAAGAGTATGAAGAGAGGGAGTGAGTCATGGTCTTCTGGCTGCCATATATCCACGACACACACATCTCACACATACACTTTCTGCATGCACATTTGTGCCTACCACACGTATACACCACATGCACTGCACATAAGCACCCTACGTACAACACATATACTACATGTATGTCACACACATACAGCACCTGCATGTATCACACATACCCAGCCTCAGTCCATTTGGGCTGCTATAACAAAACATTGTAGATTAGGTAGCTTTAAAACAGCAGAAATTTATTTCTCTCAGATCTTGAGGCAGGATCAAGGCACAGCAGATGTGGTGTCTGGTGAAGGCCTGCGCTGCTTCATGGACTTGTGTTTTCTTTCTGTATCCTTACATGGTGGAAGGGGCAAGGGAGCTCTTTGGGGCCTACTTTATAAAGGCAGTAATCCTCCTGAGGGCTCCATCCTCCTTACCTAATCACCTCCCAAAGCCCCCATCTCCTAATCCAATGACCTTAGGAGTTTGGATTTCAATATATGAATTTGAGGAGGTGGGCACAAATATTCAGACTACAACACACACATGCACATTGCACACACTTGTGATACCTCCCCTGCGGGCACAGATGGCAGTAAAGTCAACAGGTGGGTGGTAAGGTATGATGACAGCTCTCACACCTGGGTAGCTGAGGGAAATGAGGGTGATAGGGACATTGTCACCAATACGGAAGTGGTGACCTTTGCATTACACCATGAAGGGCAAACAAAAGGAGAGAGGACCTCTTGTTCTAGTAGTAACACTTAAACGCAAATGGGGTGAGTCAGGATCCTGACCAGGTGTGAGCTCACTCCTGCTTGCCAACATGATGGTAACTCCTGGCAAGAGTGCCTCCAGCTCTTCCTATGCAGGTGACCCTGGTACCCAGCTCACTCCACCCAGTTGAGCACGCAGGTCTGCAGTCTTCTGGGAAGGGTCTGGCTTTCAAGGCTTGTCATAGGGAACCAGAACCCTGCTGCCCACAGCACCTGGCAGGCAGTGGGAGCCTGTTCTGTGTTTTTCCTTTAACACATTTTGAACCTTGTTATCCCAGCTCATCAGGAGTGGGAGCCACAGTGAGACCTACTCCATAATCTGCAACCTGGCTGCTGACTCACTTTCCTACTCCCACCCTTGCCACTGAAGCATTACTGCTTGCTCCCCCGCCTCCTACTCCATGCCCAGGCCTGCAGCTGCAGGAGTGACCAGTCGTGGCAAAGTGGGGGCCAGAGACACCTGCACTTCGACAGAACGCTTATTTTTACATACTGTCAGCTGGAAATAATCAACTTGATTTAAAGAAAATATGGATTCAGAGTGTTAAAAAAAAAAAAGCACCAACAACTTGCTGGGGCTGTTTTAGGAGTGATTCTCCTGCCTCCTTTGGAAGGAAGCTGCAGGTTCTATGCAGCTGAGGACACTGGGAGGTCAAGACAAGGCAGGTCCTATGTGGCCAGAGGCCCCTCCACAATCACAGAGCTTTGGTGGCAGGGTGTGGGGGTGAAGATGGCAGATATCTTCCCACCCTCCTGCCCCACCCAGGCTGAGACTGGCAGCCCTTAGCCCTGGAGGAGGCAGAGCATGCGTGGGTATTACCAGTGGTGTGGGCCGAGTGACTGCTGTGTTGTTGGAAACAGCATCCCCAAGGTGCCCTCCTTCCCTAGTTGTGTTCTTTCTCTTCTCTTGACAGAACTGTTTCTTCTCTCTGACTTTCGTGGACTCTTCATGTTCATTTCCTTATCTCTGTCTAAGACCAAATTTTGGTCTTCATTTTCTGTGTATGGGAATAAGTAAAATTACCTATTTTCATAATTTTACTATTTTCAAGATGTCTGCAAAGCCATCAGTAAGAAGGAATTCTGTCCCCTTTCTCAGCTGTACAAGAGCTGCTGCTACCCTATTATTCTTTCAGAGATATTCTCTTCATGTACAAGTATATCCACATCAGATATGAGCTTTAAAGCTACTGCAGTGCTTGTGTGGAAGGATCCCATGGAATCTGGGGGACTGGGTGAATCCGTCCTACTGTGCCCAGCTCCTCCACACCCCATTCTAAGGGTCAGGCTTGTGGGCCCCAGAAGGGCTACTGAATACTGGGATACAGGGCCCATCACTGTCTCCTGTTAATACTTTTTAAAGAGAACTGTTTTTCTCTTGGTTATAAAAATGTCTACTTATTTTAGGGAATTTGGATAATACATGGATACAAAGAAGAAAGTCAGATTTCTTGTTTTTCTACTACCAGAGATAACCACAGAGATTTAATGTGCTTCCTGTCAGTCTTATGTGTAAGTATGTATATATATTTCTTCTTAGAAATTGAAGCCATATCATACTTAAATGTCCTTTTTTTCATTTTTATAATATATTGAAAGCTTAGTCCATATCACTGGTTTTTGAAAATACTTTCATGGGCTACATCTACACTAGTCTTTGTTTTGCTGCCTATTTTCAAGGTATTGGCCATTCTTTAGTTTCCTTCCTACTCTGTTTTCTTGTGCCATTGAGCTGGGCTACATGTGTGGCTCTTGGTTTCCATCTTTGATCACTGTGCCCCACAATAGCCTGCCTATGCGGGCAAGTTCAGGCTGGCATCCGTTCTAATTAGCCAGTGCCTGCCAATATTCAGTGCTGAATTTTGAATATCACCTCTGATTGAAATCAGTTTCCTTACCTACTGTGTTTGCTCTGGCTGCTGCCAAAAGGTACCCCAAAATAGATGGCTTTAACAACAGATGTTGATTCTCTCATAGTTCTGAATTAGGAAGTCCAGGATCGAGGTATCAACTGGATTATGCTCCCTCTGAAAGCTCTTGGGGAGATCCTTCCTTGCCTCTTCCATCTTCAAGTGGTGGCTGACAGTCCTTGATGTTCCTTGGCCTATAGACACATCAGTCTCTTCACATGGCCTTCATGACATTGTCTTCCTTGTGCATGTTTGTCTCTGTGTGCCAAAGCCCCCTTTTAAGGATACCAGTCATGTCATACTGATTAGGATCTACCCTAATGACCTTATTGTAACTAGATCACCCTTGTAAAGATCCTATTTCCAAGTAAGGTCACATTCTGGGGTCCTGTGGGTAGAGACTCTAACATAACATTTTGGGGGATGCAATGGAGTCACCAGTTGCACAGCCCGGAGAAATTGAGCTGTGTTAGAGGCCCAGCCTCTCACATACACAGTGGGCAGGGCATGCCCACTGTAGGTAAATATATTCTTATCTTAGAACTTTGGTCAGAGAAAGCAAGTCGTCTTTAACTACCCCTTCCCTAACCTAGTCTTGTATATGCATCTGCACAGATGTACACACAATTCCGTCTTTTCCCACATGAGTGGAATTATAGTGTGCACATTGTTTGCAGGCTGTGGGGCGTTCTCCCTGCCAGGTTCCCAGTGAACTGAGCTGTGCCTACCGTTGGGATGTTCTGTGTTCATAGATGCCTCCTTCATGCCTAGGCTTTTGTCTGTCTGTATAATGGACTTGTGCATCTAAACTTACTTTTATATGTGTTTATGTTATTAACATTGTTAAATTTTATGGAAAAATACTGT